CCTATAAAACCTGCCCCCAAACCAAATAAATTTCCTCAAATTTTCATAATTTTTTTAGCGCACCTTTTATTGTTTAGCTTAATCCTTTTTTACCCCCCCCCCCCCTTGATCACTGGAGTAACCACCATCAGCAGATCGATGGCAAAAAATTAAGAAAGCATGGAATTTAAAAATTTTGGGTAGACGCCTTATAGCGAACTCCATAAGCTATCGATTGGTAAAAAAGTATTTTGTTTCATTGGTGTGTCTCCGAAAAGCTGAATTACAAAATCGATGACTTTTGAAAAGTCCTATTTTGGGATTTTCGTAAATTTTATATAGTTCGACCAAAAAACATCGTAGAGAGCTCGAGAACATCTCCTTTTGTAGAGAATTGTTCCTATCATTCTGCGTAGTTTGAACAAAATTTTATTCGCAGACTCCAGGTGCTGGAAACTAGGGTTTTGATTTTCTAGAAAAGTCTATTATTGGAAATCTAGTGATGATTTTTAGTTTCTCAAATCCTTGTTGGAAACAATTTTCCCTACTCAGGTCACTATTTGAATTCTTTTTAGCGTTTATGACTGCGGAAAAAAATCGAAAATACACCCAGATGATCAATTTTTGCAACCACTGTAGTTTTCCAGCACCTAGAACCTGCGAATAAAATTTTGTTCAAACTACGTAGAATGATAGAGCAAACAATTCTCTACAAAATGGGATGTTCCATCAGTGGGCCCTCTGGGAGCGCTGTAGGGGAGTAAAGGGTTAATCTAAAGCATATAAGCTGCGCTAAACAAAGTATGATACTTTGAAGGAAATTATTTCGATGTCGGTCAGCTGATATTCGAAAACTCTTCTTTTTTTCTCACTGTACTCATCAGCGTTTTCTTCTACTATGATGTATTTAGTAAAAAGGTGTTACACTAGTCGCAAATGAAAATTGATCCATTCCCTTCAAAAGCCCCGCGCTGGCCATGTCTTCATCGAAGACGTTTAATTTATTTATGCGCGAAAAATCAGAGTAAAAAGTACATGAAATATGATGAATTGATCATATTTTTTGATATAAATCCTACCATAAATGACTTCGAAATCCTACTTTCTGTTTCTTGTTATTACGAACGCTTTTTTTGTAGTAAGAGCATTATTGATGGTGTACTGATTAAAAGCAAGCGATGGCGAAATTTGCCAGCCCACTTTTGAATCCTAAAAAGACCGAGGTTACTGAGCATGAAAAAGTAATGAACTATGTTTGGACCAAAAAAGATTCTGTGGACGTTAGAAAGTAACGAATTACGGATTGGCTAGTGATGATATTTGAGATGCAGATAATTCTCGTCTGTACATATAAAACTCATCAACGGAACCCTGATATGCTGTAGAACTTGTTATAAAATTACCAGTATAGCCGAATGAATACCCAAGTGTTATATACATTGGAGAATAGCTGAATTGATAATTAGAAGTGGCACCCGTTGAACCAAAGGCAACACCATTTGTGTAAAGCGTAATACCAATTGTAGTACTAAATGTGTAACCGATATGCGTCCACGTGTTCAAAGAGATAAACGGCCCGACAATGTTCTGCCAGACGGTACTCGAATATATCTGCGCAATTATTTGACCATTACTTGTGAGACCCAACAACTCTTGTTGATAACTATAACCGCCAGAATATAGTGACAGATGAAATGAACTGTTCAAATACTATTACAATCGTTTATGTGGTATTTTTGTTGTGTACACAGTACTTGTAATAAACGTATAATGCTTTCAATATTCCATAGTTAATTGAAGACGGATTTATCCACATAGCAAATGTAAATGGTTTAGTTGCCCAGTATCCATTGCTGGCAAACCAACCAAGAGTCTGTACGGATATCGTGTGCGCATAATCAAAACTTTATCGCCATCACATTTTATTTGATATCAAATATTTGAACATCTCAAATACATTTGAATGTAAGATGATGTTGTCGCTGTTCGTATCGCTTGATTAACTCGACCAGATACTCCTGTAAGACTATTCGCTGTACCGTTATAATGATTTGGTCCATTATCATAATAAGGGTTAGGTTGATCAAATGAAAAATAATATATTTGAGTGGCATCAATTAGAATTTCCGATGCAGCTTTAGCGCGCGTTGTCAGAGCGACGTTATCAATGTACTGAGAAAAATATGTGTTTGTTATGAGGGGTGAATAGCCCACAGTGATGGTACCATTATATCCTTTATACGGTTGTGAGTTCGATTTTATAGCATCTTGAACACCATCCAAATAAATTATTTGTTGCATTGTGGCATAATTGTAAACAAAAGCCACATGATACCACATTGAAGTATTTAGTGTTGTTGAACCTGATAAGTCGTTGTAATTGAAACTCATGAACAATTTGCCACTTCGAATAACCAAATATAAACACTGATTAGTGCATGTACTACAAGTACATTGACCGAATATGGGCCAGTCTCCAGAAATTGTTGTAGGATAAATCCATGCATCAACAGTAAAACTTTGATAAGTCAAATTAAAGTAAGTGGTCATTTGAAAATAGCTGTTCCCGGTGTACATGTACAGCATTTCGCCCGTGCCATAAACGGCAGAGCTTGCACTTTGATATGTGGCACTACCTGTTAATGCTCCATTATAAACACCGTACATATCATTCGCATTATTATCAAATGACCAATATGCAGAAACAACCGTCGTATAGACTGTTGCTGTTGTTGTATTTGTTGAACCTTTTTTAGCAATAAATGAAGCAAAAGTCTTTTATCTGTTAATCGAAACTTACCTTGTCGAGTGAATATAATCACAATTGGAGTAACAATTGCGGCAACGATTACTACACACAATATTGTACCGGCAACAATCAAACACTTGTTTGTCATCCATCTTGGACGACTAAATCGGATATCTCACAAGAACAGTTAAGCAGAAAAAAGATAAGAGAGATACGCACCTTTTGATCTTTTTCTTTTTCTGAAGACGTATTTGTCCGGAAGAGGTTACCTGGCTCTATTAGGAAAACAAATACTTTTTATTTTATCCTATTCAAATTGTTTTTCTGCCAATAATAACATTCACATACATTTAACCTTCCACAATATATTTCTTTTTTCTTTTTCTATTCATTAATGAAATTTTAAAGTATGATTCACTTTTTCATAGTAAGCTTTTTATTTTGTATCTTAAAGAACATTTTTAAGTTAAAAGTATTAATTTTTTAATAAAATACAGTGGTGTTTACGGTTGCTTTAACTGAAATAACAATTTTTCTTATGATATTTCGGCCTTCTATATAGCCATGTTCAAACTTTTTTTCGAGCAGCTGAGTCGGATGTTAACTTTTCTTTTATACGACGTTAAAGGGTTATGCTGCAATAATATAATCGAGTCTATGCAATTTTTTTTGAACGATTGAACATGCAACTTGACCGTTTTTGTTTTAAAAACATAGACTGTAGATCAGTTCTAACATTTATTTTACAACTTCAATAGTGAGCGTATGAGAGAGGTCAAACATAGGTCAATATAATGTTCTTCTAAAGTGTTAGTTTTCAACGAAATTTCGCTGACCTAGATCTGATATTGTTGTCAAATTTGCTAGCTCATATCTCAAGTTGCTTTAGATTGTGAGCTTTGATAATTTGGATGTTAGTTCTACTACGTGAGATATAGTCAGAAAAAAAGTTCAGAAGAATATGCCGTGGAACAGAAAACAAAAATGAGAATTTTGAACAACGTAAACACTCTCTGACTCAAATAGCTCAGAGACAACAAAACTACATAGCGAGTTGATTTTCTCCATTAAAACATCAAACTTCGAACTTTAGTTCAGATCTAAATGAGTTGACATCAATGTAGTCTGTGACCACTCTACAGCAATTCGGAAAAGGTGCGTTATCGGCATTTTAGACATATTTCTGAACTTCTTTTTTGCGTAAAGTTTAACGAAGCTGCATAAAAACATTGCAGAATAGTAACAAAGCTACGTACATTTGGTTGTGTTTTCTGAAAAACTGTCGACAATGTCGTCGAGTCAGACAAAAATGAATTTTGCCATTGGATATGTGGTAAAGCATTGCCTATTTTCGGCATCTTTTAGTTTTATCACCTGAAATAGCATTCATTATATTAATTCAAGGTTCAATATAATGATTAGACATGCGTGTCAAACTTTTGATATTAGAACGCAGCCAGTAATACATGAAAAGAAACTTCATTAGGATATTAAGTTATCATAACACCATCTTCCTGACTCATTACACTAGCATTTATAAGTACTCACTTAAATACCCTAGATAGACTTTTTCTTATATTTTTTCTTTTCAGATATACAAGAGTCAATGTTTCTCAGTCACGATCCCGAAAAGACATTCTGTTTTTCGTCATGATTTCGATCCCAAAAAAGTGAAAACAACATTCCGTTAATGACGGAAGATTCTCTAATCTGTAGTGTGACCTGTGATTGTTACAAAGAATGGTATATTCTACAGAAGCTTTTATTCCTTCATTTAAGTATGGAGAAAATGTTGTATTTCAGCCATTTGTACGGAATTCTCAGTACTAGTTCCAATCAGTGTAATACAATTTGCTGGCCCTGATTGCACCCATGTCTGAGCTCTACAGTGATAAACTTTTTAAGATCGGTTCATATTGGTGTGATAAAGACATGACAAATATGCAATGTGGTACTTTCAAAGGAGCGTTTATTCTAGAAAGTTTTTGCAATTTCAATTACATACCCGACCAAAATGCGGTTTATACTAATTTTTATGCTATATTACTAAAAACATTCACAGTTAATGTGGCATACAGGTGTCTTAAATTTGTTTTTAAGTTTCTCATTTTCTTTGTTGATATTAAAGTGATTTAATCCATGAGAGAATTTTTTTATGATCATTTCGAATGTTTAATCGCTTACTAGACGTCTATACTTCCATTGTTTTCATTTTATTGACTGCGTAGAAGTGTTGCTGTTGGTAATATAAATATTTTCGAAGAATCAATTTTCTTGATGGTTTAACACATTGATGGAAGCATTTTCTTTAGAACAAAAAAGAATGAATATTCACTTTTTATTCGTAATACTCTCCTTATTTAATAAACATTTAATGAGTATGGTTAATTCAAAGAGCCTGCAGTTTATACTTCCACATTAGATTAACATTTATAAATAAAATCTCGATAAAAACTCCATCGTCAGTCGGTAACTTAGATGATATTCAAAATGTTTATCAAATCGTTGAAATTTTTCTGAAGTGATAATTATACAATTATAATTAATAATTATATAAATAAATTTGTAATAATTTACAAACAAAAATATTATAATTAAATAAGCATTAATCATTAAAAACTTAAATTTTCTCTAATTTCCTTAGAAACCTTAGTAGCCCGAATTTTAACAGTAATATATGATCTGGTTTCAAAAATACATTCTCATAGAACAGCAATAAGGTTATTCTAAGCGAAATCAAAAAACAGAGCATCAAGGCTCCTCAGTTTGACCTGTACGAGCCCTTTTCAAGCATTTGATAAATTTGAAAATAAAAAGTTCTCTAACTCTCAGAAAACCGTTACATTCGCACTAATCGTTCCATTTCCACCAATTGTTCCATCGTACAACCAAAAACTAACCAAATACTGTTCTCCTGTTACTATTTGAAATGTTTGACTGAGGAAATCTTCGTACGTATTGCAACCGTCAACATAGAAATATAGTCCTGAACGTGGAAATCCATAGATACTTCCTTGATGAGCAATGACACCTTGAAGTCCACCGTTAGGACAGTTGTTTGGTGCAGCCTGATTCCAGTACGGTGAAAAGTTTCCGGTTTCGAAGCCGCCATTGTTTATTAGTTCAGTTGAGGTAGAGAGCCGGAGAACAGAGACATCGTCTAGCATGAAGACGTCGGGATCTTGACGAAGTGCAAAGGTTAGAGTAGACACGTTCGATGTAGGACTGAAGACGTATGCATGACATGTATAGTTTGTATCGGAAGTTGCAGGGTTGTAAATGGTATAGAGTTCACCATTGATGATTGTGGGGAGGTTAGAGAGAGAAAGGCCGCAAGCAGAGACTAGAGAAATAATAAACTTGGTTTAGTGGGTAGTCACCTTCCGAAAACTCACTTACTCGTAGTTGTGTTTGTGGAGCTTTTTGGCATTAAATAAACTACTAGGATCGGTGTCAAAACACATGTCAGACATAGTAAAATTAGAAATAGATAAAGTAGTACAGACGAACAACATCGGCTGTTAATAATGAAGTATTCTCTAGTAAAAAGAGAGAAGGACTGATTTGTATCCGGTAGATGTGGTTTGAAGCAGTGTCTTTTTTCTCACTTGATTATTTCGATCAGTCGATATTGTACGTATTTGAAAAGAGGAAATTTGTAATTGGACTCCGGAACGGCGGAAGTAGAGTGTCGAAGAGAAAAAGTCGATACTCCTGGTGGCGGTTGTAGTATGGGCTAGATGATGAGAAATAACACAATAGCTAATGTAAGAGAGTCAGAAAGAAGAGAGCAGTACTTACTCCGGTTGTTACTCGATAAAGTCTATAACTTGGCGGTGGTGATGGATTCTAGAAGTGTGAAGCATTGTCAACAAACTCGAAAGTTCGCTAAAGTACCTTCACTTATTGAATTATAACTAGCAGACGTAGCGATCTATTCTTTCTCTTCGAGTTCTACTTACTCTGTTGATTTGATGATTACGATCGTAGTTTCTGCTTGCGTGAAGCATCAGTGCGTGAGCATCAGTGCAAAAGAAAAGGTATTTTTACAAAATGATTATTTGATCGGTGCCGTTTATATTTCCTTTTTAATTGCACGAGAAGCCTTCAGGTTTATTATTGTTTATAGTACTTTATGAAAAGAAAAGACATATAAAGAAGAAGAATTTTGCCTGACGCAAGGAAAAGAGTTTGAGGTTAAAATAAAGTGTGTGAGAGACAGCAGTGAACCGATCTCTTACTCACTGAATGTCGGCTGGAGTCAAAGGTTACGAGAGGATAAGCATCGATGATATTCATTACATCCATTTTGTGCGCGAACAAGATCGATGTAATGATGATAGGTATCATATGGATTTATCATACCTCACTGTTCGATTCGCAGATCGACATGTTACTTGTTTGTAAAAGTTAAGAATTTTCGCTAACCAATTGGTTCGTTTGCCTCCTTGGACTATGAGAATCGAGGAGAAGCCTTATCTGTTGGCCTTCTCTTAGATACCTTTGAATCTCGTACGGCTTGTGAAGCATTTAAAAAAGTCTCGAGTACAGGAGGCATTTGGATCCCTTGTGGGTTGAGAACTTATCACTCCAGAGGTGCGGCCTTTATGGCAAAGAGCGGCCTTTATGGATGCTGTCTTTTTCAATAGTGATTTCAATTCTCGCCCATTTTTCAAGGGAAGTTTGGCCATCTTGTCTCTATATTCTGGCAAGATTTGTTTAAAGTATTTGATTGAAGAACTAAAATTCGTATTATAATATCAAAACCTTTTTCCTTTGTCTTTTTTATTTTCAAAATAAAATACCTTGTATCCTTTTCTGCGACGCTGCTAGTCGTTTATTAAAACCTTAAACACCTGAGTAAATTATTGTTACGATCTCTTCTACAGAGGAAATAAAGCACGCAATTCCAAAGCTTCCCAGCCGGTAGAATCCTATAATAAGATCATAAAAGATCTTGTAAGCTCCTAAAATAAGATGTTGTCTAATCTTATATGATCCTATGAAATATATAGAATCTTATAATATATAAATATATAGGATTTAGTGACAGATAACCATTTCTCGATATAAGCTTACCGACACTTTGTTTCAAACTGACTATTTTCTCTCCAGGCGGGTTAAAACCATGATATAAAGTGAGAGCTG